ATATACAGGGCCCTCTTCCTGACGACGGCCGTCTATGGGGAGGGGACGTGCGCGGTGTACGAAATTTAGAAAACCGAACCAGTTTAAATACGCTTCCTTCGAAGGACGCTGACTACGAGAGGACAGAGCATTATCTCTGTAAATCAAGTTTCAGGGGGGCATTAGAATACAGTGGTGAGAAAGGTGTCCGGAAAATACGGACGTGGAATAAATGGCGACTTTATTGAAGACGTTATGCTGCATTAAACTTTGACTAAAATAGAGCTGTGACTACCTGATGCTGGCTTTCGAATGCCTGCATAAGTGACAGTTTTAAAATGACGTCGCCTACGGATGATGTCAAACAGATGGACGGAAAGGGCGACTCGAAAGAATGCCAATCCACTTAAATTACAAAATCGAAATCGAGGAACGCTTGCCTAGTACCAACAAACTTGACATACTGAGGTAAGAGGTGGAGAAGCAGACATCGAGGCTAACCCCATACGGCAAGTCAAAACGAGGCGAGGTATGCAAGACGGCAGTAGTGTGGACCAATGTAATTAAGGCTCGGCCTTAAATAAAATGTTTATACTGCCATATAGCATTCAAGAGCAGGGCCGATTTTGTTGGGTAAAGAATTCGCTCGAGGTCAATAGTATTCCCCCATCGTCCTTACTACGAAGCGCCAAAAGCAAGTAAAGAAATCCTCTAAACTCTTCCCATTCCAGCAACGCGTCCCAATATAGGTCCTTTCTGAACGGACGTTTTTGTCCTCACCGCAGTAGGAAATCCGCAAGGCCACAGAAGATAACAGTCAACAGCATAACTGCAGTGTCAACATGCTCATTTTTAATCCCTCGTATGGGTCACATAACACTTTATCGGCCGCCTGCTCTCCACCGCCACTAAATTATCCGCACACACATACAAACACGCGAGAGTTCGACCGTCGGTTTCGACGATGCAACCGTATGCCCTACAGCAGGGTGTGAGCAGGGACGGCGACTTGCGCGGGGTTTATAGTGCCAGTAGACTTGCGCTGCATCTACCACACTCTCTCCTCCTCCCCCACCTGAGTCTAGTGTCAAGACAGAGTCAAGAAGACCGGGGATGGGGGAGGCCGCAGGTGGATGACTTGGACAGATCCGGACCTTGGCGCTCCACTCCGCACTTCCTGGTCCACACAGCAAATGATCAGGATTGTTACCGACAAAACAATGGGGGGTGGTGGTAGGGTCCCAGTTTGTGCGGCGACTGTCGACAACAGGGTCTGTCAGGGTGTATCGCCACACCCCCTGGCCAACTATGTGCACTAACCAGGATTTTACAGAACAAGAGAAGAGGAGGCGATTCAGTGGGACTGTCACAAAGGTCACATTAAAGAGCCATTGCAGCCTAACTCTCAGAATACCAGTCCGTCACTCCCCACAACACACACACACACACACACTGAGCTGACCGCGAGGTCCATGTTAGCCCGTCAGAAGGCAACCCATCAAGCCATGGCCACTGCGATTGATTCAAGCGCGTCGGACTAGGAATTATGCCCAGCGACATGGCCTCACTATTTGCACCCTATCCTCTGAAACAGTCGATTGTCCAATCCGGTCAGCCAACTGATGCCAAGACTGGGAGAGGTAGCAGACGAGCCGAGAACAGCTCGTCTGCGCGTGCCACACACACGATCAGGCTCTCATTTGCGCATTCCAGGATTTCGCCCACAAGGGGACAATATTATTATGACCTGTAACGTAACAAGCGAATGTTTGAATGTCTGTTTTGGGTGGTGCGTGCCTTGGGGTAGCAAGGTCACTATTGATCGAAGAACCAGTACGTATGCGTCACGGGTAGACTGTTACATCCAAGCCACTTTAGTCATTGGGTTAAATTCCACCACCAGTCCGTAGGGCAAAGAGAGGGGAGCGGGATAAATCCACTTCTAGTTAGTCAAGTCCTCACTAGAGTCAATTAAAATCGCTTAAACTCATTATCACGCGGTGGTGTCGCGGCTTGGGGGGTCGCAGGTTAACGCTATAACTCAGTCCAACGCAGGACTGAGGGACAGTCTGCCATGGATTTTTTGCAGTGCGGCTTTTCTGCCGCTCTCAATTATGTGAAGTCAGAGATCCCTTTTAAAAAACGGATTTTCGCAGGTGGAGTCTCTCACGACATATTAACCACTGCGATTGGACCTATCTTCCTCCTCTTGGACCATATCTTACCATTGGAAGAAGATAGACGTTAATAGGGTAGGCAAGTCATCATTGCGAGCTCCGTATGGTAATAAAGGTCATTACGAATTAGTATGGACATATATACTGTTACCAAGCAGCACAACTTAGTAAAAATATGGGTAAGACGTGGTTTGGCAGCCCCACCTGATGTACACAGTATAGTTGAGGTTGAGGTTAAGGGTTAGAACCAGGAGTTAGGGTTAGGGGTTACGGTTAGGGGCTGGGGTTAGGGTTAGAGGGATAGGGTTTAGGATAAGGGGTTATAGTTGGGGGTTAGTGTTAGCGTTAGGGGTTAGTGCAACTATTTCTTAACCATTCAAATTACAACCGCGCATTCGCAATAGCTTTCCTTCTGCATGCAAATACTTGACCCCGTCGCCTGTGGGTTCCCCGGCCCCACCTGGAAAAACCTCTATTGCCACTGGTCCCATATTACAGGTGACTGGGGTTTGTTTACTTCAGGTGGGGCTACATAATCACATCCAACCAAAATATGTATCCAAGAGACCGGCAATTTTTGATTTAACACAAAAATTTGCACTGATAAAGTAAAGCCAGGGGTGTGAGACTTCTGGACTTAGATCGGATGACCTCGGACAGCAGTAAGGGCTGCTTCGCATAATGATGAAGTGGAAAACAGAAATCTCTCGAAAGCTAGTACCTTTAGTCAGAATGGCCTTATCTACACTCGGAAGTGCATAGGCAGACAAATTTTGTCTTAGTACTGCTAAAGATTTAATCTGGATAAATTTCCGTTTATAGTCAAATAGGTATCCTATTATAAAAACTGACCTCAGTGCGGATAAACGGAAAATATCGCACAATATACCACTTAAATGTACCGCAATATACCACTTATTGATTTACATTATTAATCACACGCAGTACCGCTGAAGATTTGCCGATTAATAATGCCAACAACCGTAAAATTACTTAATTAATTAGTATGCACGTTTTCATAAGCCAGCGGTACCTGTAGCAAATTAGTTCCAATTTTAAAATGTCAATAAAACAACCATTTCACAAATGAAATGTTCTTTAGTTCGTAAACCTATTAGTCTCGATCGGTCAGCGATTCAGTTAGTTTATCGATAGGTCTGTTGCTAGAGTCTTTCATTACTAGAACGCGCTTGACAACATGGTGTCCTACTTCCTATGGCCTTCAATATCCAAAACAACTGCTATTTAAAATGGATTCCGTATACTCATTTTTAACTACCCAACAAACCTTGGAAGTTTTCAGCCCGGAGTTCGAGATAAATCCCTTTTATTAACTTTACTGGAAACCACATTCGATATTTGCCTGAATAGACTGAGATCCAATATCCTGAGATTTATCAATCATATTCAGGAACACATCTGCTCTGTAGTCTCGCCTACTATGCCCAGTGTCACAATTAACGATGTGTTAAGAAAAATAATGTGCGCAGTCTAACTAATACCCTGTATACACAAAATTGTAGTTTTTAAGATAACCGAAGTCTCTGACGTCCAGCCTTCATACCAGAGAGCGGGCGGGGTCAGCATCAGAAGCTTACGCTAAACTGCGTCCTGCCGAACATCTATAAGAAAGTTCAGCACCTTTACTTCAGTGTTTAAAATCAATGAATAGAGTACGGATGTACTACTAAGCCAGCGATGTGTTGTCTGAAGTGGTCACGGTGGTGATTAGGATGACTTGAAAAATAAATGCACACGGGCTTCCATGTCTAGGTCATTATGAATCACTTCTCCATACCTGTAACTCATTCCGGTAGTCTGTTAGAGGCTAAGACACCACACACTTAGGTAGATCAGTTACCTTACCTCCCAAAACAGTTTGCCGTCTCCAGGTATTGGCAGCTACTTTTTGGACTGCTGATAATTTCTTAGACTTGGGACGCACACCCATTTTCATGGAGATGCTCGGCGAGGATCAGGACTACGTCGAAAATCTACCACGCAGTTGTCAGACGTGTTGACTTCACACGATTCGTAGGAATGTCGCGATTAGCAAACAGTCGGCTGAACCAAGGATAAGTTAAAGAGCAAAGGCGACCAGCCCCACACCCATTCCTCTAATTTCATGTTAAAGTCGCCAGGCAGATGGAATAATTTGTGTGGGCCGAAAGAAATCCTACCGAATGAATCATCAACGGCGTATATAACGAACCGGCGCATATAAATGTGCCGGTGCGGAAAACGGAGATTTTCTTTGCCTAAAGAGCCTGGTCAGACGGTTAATTAGCAGCAACGGGACCTACCAAGCTGTTGTAGGCGATGGATTACAAAATAACGCTCCTACAAAGAGGACTATCTCCCCCTGTCTCATTATTATCGTAGCACCCTGCAGGACACCATTAAAGTAGAAAAAAACTTTACTCAGTTGGGCCTATCGAACTACAACTGTAAGGTGTGCACCTCTGAAACTCAAGGACTATAACTTTAATCGATTACCCTGTTATAAATAAAAGATGGCTATAAATAGTTTTGCATGTTTAAATATTTATGTGAGTAGGGTTAATTACACCGCCTGAACCAGAGTGTGTGGAGGGGAATAAGGGGGTGAAGGTCTGGTAACAATACAAAATTTTTTCACATAGATTCAAATGAACCAGCATTAATGCAGCCGTACATTCGTAGATAAGTCGGACAGCCGGCACCGAAGCTTGCCTGTGCGACAGGATCCTCTGCCTAGGTACGTACATGTCCACAAAACCCGCGCTTGTCGTGGCACTTACAAAGTACTCTTTAGGACAGGCGGACCACAGTGTCTTTCTGGGGAGGGGGGTATGGTCGGTGCCTTCAACTCTTGTAGTCACCACCTCCGTGTTCGCAGTAGGACTGTAGTAGGGAGGAATTGGTGGTAGGGTTTGAGCTCGCGTGTTGAGCATAGGAGCAACTGGAGTCGCTTCCCTCAGCTCGGAAGATCTCCTCTGGGGTGTCATATTGATCCAGGGAGAGGGAGAGCTGTAGCTGGGCGTATGGCGCCACCAGGGCGCAGGAGTCCTGAGGGTTAGCACAGCGGAATGAGGCCAAGCCCAAAGGTTTGGGTGAGGAGTCCGGTGGTATTGAGCCCACGACCTGAGCGGGACTCGGTCCTGAAACCAGTGGTGGCAGTGGTGGCGGCATCGTGGGTGGAAGTGCAACGTTTGCACGTCGCATGTCAAAGTCAGAGCCTATGAGGAAGCCCCCCGTCTCACTACTGCCTGAAATGCTCGGACGTTCGGTGCCGAGTGTCGGGTTTTTGATAGCTGCAGAGGCTGCGCTGTTGTTACCACAGGGCAAGAAGACTCCGCGCGGTTCCGTCCAGCCGCTTGAAGACTGTGTGGGCAGGGAACTCTCCGCTGTGGACTGGTTGTTTGCGCTGCCTCCGCTCATACTTGAACCCGGAGCATATGTTGGCGCAGTC